CTTTATGCCTGACCAAACCACTCATTGGATCGCCATGAAACTTTGGGAAGTTATTTAGTATAGTACTGGGAAGGTTTCTAGCAAATAAAATTTTTGAAATAACTTTTCGCCTAGAAATAATCAAGATAAATATTCTAATTTATCTGTTATAATTCAACAATCTGCTCTAAATATTATCATGATGATACGATGATTTTGTAATGTAGAAAATTAGGAAAGACAAAATCAGGATGACACGGCAATTTATTTGAGACAAGAATAATGATACAATTCAAAGGCAAGATACTATTCCTTTAACTTCCAATTACCGAGGGAACCAATTAATATTGATTTTATTCAACTTATCGAGTATTTTTCAAGGGGACCGGGAAAAAATGTTAACTTTATCGAGAGATTCGTTAGACAAACCTTTACTCAGGTAAAACCCGGGCGAAGCCGGGCGGGTCCGCTAGTATATAATAATTGTATAAACGAATGCAAGACAAAATCACCGCGAATGTTTCTTTTTTTTAAGGCAATTTCTTTTTAAGGCAATTATCGTTTTGCACAATTACTTAATCTTTTAAAATAAATAACAATACTTAAATGAAAATATGTTCCTTTAAATAAAATAAAATAAACTTATAAAAAAGATTAAATAATTGTGCAAAACGGTATAATATATATATATAATATAATATATGTAATATATATAATATAACGGTATAATAACGGTATAAAGAAATAATGAGCCTATCGTTCAAACTTATAATTGTAACGAATAGTATTTTAATTAAAACATTTTAAAAACACACAGTTTGGAACGGGACGTTTCACAAGAGTGACATCCATGGCGCCAATTTATAATTGTAACGAATAGTATTTGAATTAAAACGTTTTTAAAATATATACGCACTCGGGTAAAACCCGGGCGTTGCCCGGGCCATTTGTCTAGTATACACTGCGTGACATTGAAAATGGAACACCAAGAAATAGTGGCCAGAAAGTGATGAAACTCGGCAGACAGAGAGAGACAGGGACGAACAATAAGTGATCTTTATTTAAAAATGATAGTCATAATACAGAGAGAGAACGGCGTCGGCTTAGTAGCAAGTAGGACCACCGCGGACGGCGATGCGCGCAGCAACACGTCTAGGTAGAGAATCAATCAGAGTACGGATGGCGTCCTGAGGGATGGCTCTCCATTCCCTCTCAACCATTTGCCACAGTTCGTCTTCTGAACGTGGCTGTGGCAAGGCATGCAAACGGCGTCCAATGATGTCCCAGACGTGCTCGATTGGGGAGAGATCAGGAGAGTGCGGTGGCCAGGGAAGCATTTGTACATCTTGCAGAGCTTGTTGGCTAATGCGAGCAGTGTGCGGTCGGGCGTTATCCTACTGATAAAGGGCATTGGGTACCCCCTGAAGGTAGGGGAGTGTCACCGGTCGCAGCACATCATCAACGTATCGTTGGGCCGTCATAGTGCCCTGAATACGAAGTAAAGGTGACCTGGAATCATACGCGATTGCGCCCCAAACCATGATTCCACGTTGTCGCACGGTGGGGCGTTCCACAATTGCTGCCGGATTGGATTTTTCTCCACGTCGACGCCACACGCGTACACGGCGACTATCACTGGACAAGCAGAAACGCGACTCATCTGAGAACACGACCCTGTGCCATTCCGTCATCCACGTCGATCTAGCCCGGCACCATTCCAAACGTTGGCGCCTATTCGGTGGGGTCAATGGCAGTCTTCTTAGAGGACGGCATGAGTGCAAGCCATTAGCAACCAATCGACGGGAAATGGTTCTGGTCGAGATGGAATGATCTAGGGTGTCTTGCACATGTTGCAGGATGGCGGTACAAGTGGCTTGTGGGGCCGCCACTGCTTGTCGAAGGATACGCCGATCCACACGTGCTGACGTCACTCTGGTTGCACCGACATTCCTATAAATTGCCACATTTCCTTGTTCCAACCATCTTCTCCACAGTCGGTGCACCGTGGACGCACCAAGGTGTGTATCAGCTGCGATTTGACGTATGGACCAACCTGCCCTTTTCAGTCCGATCACCATGCCCCTCGTAAAAGCATCTGTCTGCTTGAACTGCCTCCGTTTACGATGATCTGGCATTCTCTGTTATTACACGTGTCTTTTAACACAAGAACAAAATTTCTACAATGATTTTCCTAGAAGAAATAACGACACGAATACTGTCCTTTCTGCAAGTTCCTTCCCTTATATCTTACTCCATGTGCGCACGAGAGCTGCGCATTTTACATCATTTGCATAACTCGGTTAGGCGCGTCTACCCTGAAATTTGCATAATTTTCTGGCCACTATTTCTTGGTGTTCCATTTTCAATGTCACGCAGTGTATATATATATATATACTAGCCGAATGACCAGGGCAACGCCCGTGTTTTACCCAATTGAATGTTTTTATTCTAATACTATTTGTTACAATTATCATATTAGTTACGTATTGTGGACGTGTATAGTTGACAAACATACATACCTACATACGCTGACTTTTATATATATAGGGATAATAATATAAATGAGTTTTAAAAATTGTAAAAAATAAAAAAAATGCATCGGCCAGGAATCGAACCCAGGCCGCCCGCGTGGCAAGCGAGCATTCTACCACTGAACCACCGATGCTTATAAGAAATGGCCCTATTTGGGTATTTATTCCATTCACAAAAGCAAACGATGACAGAATTGGTGATGACTCTGATACTTGTATTTATAATTATGTTAGCATAATGAATTAGTCAGTATTCCCATGGTCTCCAGCGAAGAGGTGTGAATTGACTTTTTGAAAATATACATAATTATAAAGATAGAAGCTTCTATAGAAATAAATAAAATAAGCCAAAATAGCTCAGTTAGGAGAGCGTTAGGCTGAATATCTAAAGGTCCCTGGTTCGATCCCGGGTTTCGGCATCTTTTTTAATTTTTAAATTTCATCCTTGACAGAGGCGGCCGATGAGGAAAGACGGTCGTGACTATATATGTTGATATATATACAGTTATCAGCGTCATGCATTCTTTCTTAATTATGTCACCGTTTGCTTTTAATTCAGTGTTAGAATGCTCGCCTGCCACGCGGGCGCCCTGGGTTAGATTCCCGGCCGATGCATTTTTTTTTACAATTTTTAAAACTCATTTATATTATTAAAATATATGTGCTTTTCCTGTCTATGTACAGATTTATGGTCTATGTACACAAATATACAAGTATGTATACAAGTTATTTGCAAATTGCGTGGCAAATTTGCCCTTTCGCTCGCAAGCAGCGCCTCTAGCGGTGAAGATGGGGGGTAATATCAGCTGACATAATGGACATGTAAAACGTGTTTTTAACAGGACATAGAGAAAAATCTGGAAAATATATTTTTCGGATTTTTAGTCAAGAAAAATAAATTGACAGGTTCTGGGAAAAAAATAGTTGTTTTTTATTCAGAAACTGATGATGACAATATTGCTGTATCATTAATATATACAGTTATCAGCGTCATGCACAATTCTTTCTTAATTCTGTCACCATTTGCTTTTGGTCCAGTGGTAGAATGCTCGCCTGCCACGCGGGCGCCCCGGGTTCGATTTCCGGCCGATGCATTTTTTTTTACAATTTTAAAAACTCATTTATATTATTAAAATATATATGCTTTTCTTGTCTATGTACAGATTTATGGTCTATGTACACAAGTATACAAGTATGTATACAAGTTATTTGCAAATTGCGTGGCAAATTTGCCCTTTCGCTCGCAAGCAGCGCCTCTAGCGGTGAAGATGGGAGGTAATATCAGCTGACCTGATGGACATGTAAAACGTGTTTTAACAGGACATAGATAAATATCTGGAAAATATATTTTTCGGATTTTTAGTCAAGAAAAATAAATTGACAGGTTCTGGGAAAAAAGTAGTTGTTTTTTTATTCAGAAAATGATGATGACAATATTGCTGAATCATATTTGATTATCAGATACAAAATTATATCCGGAAAAATTCCAAAAAGCAGAGACTACGGGTGAAGCCAGTTCATTTTTAGTATGCAGGAACAAAATTCTAACATAAAAACATTCATTCGAGCAGAAGACACAAAGCCAGATCATCTCTTTATAAAAATATCGCTTCTCAGACACAAAGTTTGGAGCGGGACGTTTCACAAGAATGACATCCACGGCGCCAATTTATAATTGTAACGAATAGTATTTGAATAAAAGCATTTAATCGGGTAAAACCTAATGGACATGTAAAACGTGTTTTAACAGGACATAGAGAAATATATGGAAAATATATTTTTCGGATTTTTAGTCAAGAAAAATAAATTGACAGGTTCTGGGAAAAAGTAGTTGTTTTTATTCAGAAAATGATGATGACAATATTGCTGTATCATATTTGATTATCAGATACAAAATTATATCCGGGAAAAATTCCAAAAAGCAGAGACTACGGGTGAAGCCAGTTCATTTTTAGTATGCAGGAACAAAATTCTAACAGAAAACATTCATTCGAGCAGAAGACACAAAGCCAGATCATCTCTTTATAAAAATATCGCTTCTCAGAAACAAAGTTTGGAGCGGGACGTTTCACAAGAATGACATCCACGGCGCCAATTTATAATTGTAACGAATAGTATTTGAATAAAAGCATTTAATCGGGTAAAACCCGTGCATTGTCCTTTCTTAATCAATTCTGTCACCGTTTGCTTTTGTGAATGGAATAATTACCCAAATATGGGCCATATGGCCATTTCTCATTACCATCGGTGGTTCAGTGGTAGAATGCTCGCCTGCCACGCGGGCGGCCCGGGTTCGATTCCGGCCGATGCATTTTTTTTACAATTTTTAAAACTCATTTATATATTATACAAGAATGACATCCATAGTATTTGAATAAAAGCATTTTATTCGGCTAGTTAATATATACAGTTATCAGAGTCATGCGCTATTCTGTCACGTTAAGTCACGTGTCAAGTTACGTTAAGTAAAAATTAAAAAATTTAAAAAGATGCCGAAACCCGGGATCGAACCAGGGACTTCAGATCTTCAGTCTAACGCTCTTCCAACGGAGCTATTTCGGCTTTTTTAGTTATTTCTATAGAAGCTTCTATCTTTATAATTATGTATATTTTCAAAATGTCAATTCACACCTCTTCGCTGGAGACCATGGGAATACTGACTAATTCATTATGCTAACATAATTATAAATACAAGTATCAGAGTCATCAACAATTCTGTCATCGTTTGCTTTTGTGAATGGAATAAATACCCAAATAGGGCCATTTCTTATAAGCATCGGTGGTTCAGTGGTAGAATGCTCGCCTGCCACGCGGGCGGCCCGGGTTTGCTTCCCGGCTGCTGCATTTTTTTTTTTTACAATTTTTAAAACTCATTTATATTATTATCCCTATGTTTATAAAAGTCAGCGTATGTATGTATGTTTGTCAACTATACACGTCCACAATACGTAACTAATCTGACTGAAATTTTAACAGTATATAAAGTAGAATCTGGAAAACTTTTAGTGAGAATTTCAGGTCTCTATCCCGAATATCCGTCGTGTTATTTGCTTTTTCGCTCGCGCCTCTAGCGGTGAAAATGGGGGGTAATACCAGTTGACCTAATGTACATGTAAAGTTTGGAGCGGGACGTGTCACATCTACGGCTCCAATTTATAATTGTAGCGAATAGTATTTGAATAAAAACACTTAATCGGGTAAAACCCGGGCGTTGCCCCGGTCATTCGGCTAGTAGATATATAAATATAGATATATATATTTTTATTTTTATCCCTCTTTTTCTGTTTTTCTTTTTCATTAGGCGCCAGTGTCCTTAGCGAGACATCGTGCTTTGT